CATATAATACAAGATAAATAATTATTTTGTAATTTTTAATTGAGAGAAGCTTGTATAGCTCAGCCATCTTGCTGGAAGAAGAATTATGTCTTCACTCATTTGGCAGACTTAAACAGTTACAGAGTACACTGAGGTAGAGGACGCTTGGGCTGGAAAGTTCCTGTGGTTCAGAAGCAAATAAAGGAACTTACTAGCACTGTTCCAGGAGTGCTGCATTCACCAAGAGGTAATGCACTGCTGTCACCTTCTTATGGTAAAGGTTCCATTCTCTGACTTGTCTAGTGAAGCTGACTGTGCTCCCATAGGATCCAATATGGCTCACACAGACACAGACTGAGTCTCTTTTACCTGCTCTTGGCTAAGCCCTAACTTGGCAGTTAGGTTTCCCCCTCTTCAGTCCATTAAGATATCCAGCTGCCTTTTTTTTTTTTTTTTTTTTTAGAAAGAAGATAATTATCTTCAGCAATGAAACTACTCTCTCCATGCATACACACCTCTCATTTCCTGTGAACTAGCAACAATTTAGGCTTCTAAACACCACAATAAAAGAAATATTATCTCTCATCTGGCCACTATCTGTAAAAACTCAGTTTCTTTTAACTTGACTGATAATTTTTGCTGAATATTTTATCTCAGAATCACTTTTCATTATTATGGAACACATTGAACCATACAAAGTGATTCACATCACCAAAAGCAAAAAGACAGGGTGGAGCATCTTAAAGTGGAACTCTTTGTATATATTTAAAAATATGCATCCTTTAGGTTTAAACTGGCATAAATAATGTCTTCTTGCAGGAAAAAGGCAAACCAAACAAAAGTTAAAATAAAACCAATCAAAAAGCAAAAAGAATGCAGAAAGGTGGAAGTTTTGTTTTGGTTTGTTAGCATTTGAAGCAAAGGATTGAATTTCTATTTGTATTACCTGGATGTCATAATTAGATTGCTATGGCTAGCCATAAATCATCAGACAGACAGCTACAGGGGATCAGCCTGTGCATCCACTGAGGGGTGTAAAAAGAATGTTCAAGCAATGGCCTTAATATTTCCTCAATGGCTAGTTACAAAAGAAAAGAAACAGAGAAAAGAAGTCCATTGTCCTTGATCAACACAGGATGACCTAGCCATATGCCCAAGTGAACCCCTAATCCTCAGAGAAGTCCTTTGGTTAACCCATAGTAGCTGCCCAAATCTCATGCATGTTTAGTTAAGTAAAGCTCTCCACCGACATGAGCGATAGTTTGGTTTCTCTGTTTGCATCAGTAGTGGTAAGCAAAATGGGATATGGGAGTTTGCTGAAGCACTGACTAATGTCCTTAGTGTTTATTAGCATGATTTCTGATATGGGTTTGACCTCAGCTAGCTCACCCTCACCAGAAAATATACAGATATGTTCTGATACATGATGCATTGTGTTCCCAGTGGAAACAAGGTCTCTCTTGAAGCAAGAAGGGTCTTGCCTTATCTCACTGAGACTGCAATGATAGACAATTGGACAGAAACTGCCCAAGCATTATTTGTTAATAAAATTAGGTATTGTTCTTATATGTATACTTAGCACCACTAAGATACCACTATAATACTTGCCACAAAAAAGGTAAACTGAGCAATAAAAATAATGAAGGGACACATTCCATCTTCGATTTGCATCCCCAGATACTGGATTGAAAAAATAAAAGTTCCACAAACATACAGGAGGCAGAATCTGGGTAATTTCAAAACATCTTTCTACATTCAACATGCATAATTTCTGGCAAAGCTTTTTCTTTTGCATTGGTTTCCCTTTCTCCTACATTCACTACACAGTCAAATTTTTAATCACGTCACTGAATTCTAATAATATATTTTGCAATGTTTCCTAACTAATAATTTTCTCTTTGTTTCTCACTGATTAAATGCACATATATATATTTCTAATACTATTTATAATTTCTTGTCTATGAGCTTACATTAATTAAAGATTTTCAGAGAACTAGGCCCTCATTCTTAAACTGAAAGTCTGCTTTTGTTCTAATGCCATGGGACAAGAGGTAGAAACTAATGTTTATATTATTGATTAATGAGGTACTGAAGGGATTAGGTTCTAAGATTGTTTAGCACAGGAAAATCCATACTTATAGCATTAAAACAGATTTTGAGACCTTGTTTATTGGCTATATCCATGATCAGTCTGCTGGGATTTATTCAATCTGAAATGTCTATATTATATGTGAACATAAACCAATCTGTTAAGAGGAATATCTAATGTTGGTCACACAAAGGCAAATAATTGCAGTAAATTACAGGTCAGTAATTGAAAAAGACCATTTACACTTGTAAATTTAGAAAGCTGCCTAAAGATTAAACATATTCAGTAACTAGGGATGAAGTTTGGACTGGTACACAATTTTGGCTACAATTTTCTTTACTTAATTGATTTTCTGTTATGTATTCAATTTTTAATTTTCACAGATAAAAAATTTCATTGGTTTGCCCATAACTTCTATAACTGTATTCAAACAGAACAATGTGTCTTATTGGTCTTCAGTGTATAATGTACTGACTAATGAAAGCAAATACTGGTTGCTTCTTTGAAAGAGAAAATGTCATATCTGCTCACATATGTGGAGAGGTAGGTCTTTGTGTAATTGTGCCTTTTCAACCAGGTACATGTATAAGACAATGACTTTTTGAGAGTGAGACATTAAAAAAAATTGAGTGGTAATAAAAAACATTAGTAAACTGCATTAAGAAAATATTTACTTGATGAATTTAAATCCTTGCCATATTTTCAAATCATGTACAAAACCAACATCATGTTTTCAGGTTTGTTCCATCTTTTTTGTAATTTGATATATCATTTGGACACTTATGATATGACAATGCAAACAATACCTTTTTTCAGTTTCTTGAAAAAAGTCATGAAAATTTCAAAGCTCAAAATTCATGCATAAAAATATTGACTTGGATTCTTAAGAAATGTCTTGAATTTTTTACCCAGAACTATTTAACTGTTTTGCTGACTTGAGTTTAAATATCTATTGCAAACACTTCATGGATGTTCATAATCATACTTATTAACAGTATACACTTTATTCTGTATTTCTCCTTTGATCAATTGATTCAAGGAGAAATTTTTTTGCAATACTCTTTCCTGAGTTTGTTTCTGTTTGAAGCCATGGCATCATTAAATCTTATGTAATAACATTCTGTATACTAGTAAGTGATTTCTGGTCCACCCGTTTTTATTGTTTTTCTTTCTATCATCAGTAATTGACTGTATGTAGCAGTAATTCTATGGTCCTTATGGCTTTCCATTCTTTATTTCACTTATGAGTAAGGAAAGGAGTATTTTTCTCTTCCAGAATGACAACATTTTGCACATCACAAACATTTCCACCAGGCTTCTATCTCTGAAATTCTTCCTTCTTCAGTCTTCTATCTCTGAAGTTATTCCTTTTTCAGTCTTCTTATTCTGCTTTAATGATCTGTCTTTGTAATATTACTGCACAATTATATGTGCCTAGAGTGGAGTTTTGACATATTGTGGGTAGTGGTAGTTTTGACTATAGTTTCACATTACCAGTGTTTGATATCCTTGCTAATTCCCTTCCATTTCCCACCCACAAGGACTTCATAAAATGGACTCAAATAAGTACGTATTTGTATGCAAGACACGTTTTCTCTCTACAACTGTTCTTGCAATTCTGTTTTCATTTCTATTAATTATTGTCAAGAAGAATATTGGAACAAACAGAGTCATGGCTCATGGCTTGTCATTATGAGCACAAAGTCTTTTAGTTCAAATGCCCTTTGTACTGAAGTGCTTTGATTTGATTCCTTACCTCTAATGTGGAAGCCCGTGTTACGTTGCTGGAAGTTTTGTTAGCAGAAAAAGTTTTATTCCTTATACCAATATAGTTCTGAGTTTTTTAGAAGTGCATCTTCCGTGATAAAAAACTTATTTAGAAACAAAATCGTTTCTTTGCCTTAAAATTCCTGTTATAAAGTAGAATGATAAAAATCTCCTTATACAAGGTAAAAATATCTTCATGGACAGTTAGCATCAGTATAAAAATTTTTATTTTAATTATGACACAACATTATTTAAAAATATTTTCCTCTGCGGAAAAGGTGTAAACTATAAATAACAATTTAAATTTGTTCATATATAGAAATACTACATGTTAATCAACTGTTTGTGGGGCAGGTAAACAGAACAGAGAACTGCCTCTTTAGGAGAAGGATTTACAACACAAGGTTTTTCCTTGTACAAGTAGCTATGGAGGCTATAAAGGACACACAGATCATCCCAGATCAAAAATACACTACTAATATTGAATACGAGAAAGTAAATAAATTTGAAAATTTAACAATTGCACTTTAGCCAACTCATATGATTCAGATAAACTACGAGATTATAAGACCAAAACTCTGGTATATGGTGTGTGTATTCTAAAGTTGTCTGTTCTGTACTCTTTATTTTTCTGCTATGACCTCTTGTCCAGTGTCAGATTCTGCTATGCTGGTTAGATGATATTTAATGTATTTTCTTATTCCAATACCTTTCTGCTTAATTGTAATAGAAATGTTGCTAAAAGCAATTCAATTTTGCTTGGTTTTCCAAGTGCCCCACTATTGAAAATTCAAATAGTAGTCAATGCCATTTTTTCAGTTTCATGTAACTATAATTTCTGGTAATAAAATAAGGATTTAACATATAAAAATGTAACTAAGTGTTTTAGAAGAGAATATAAAATATAAAAGCGTTCATAAAATGCTCAGTATTAGAAATATTAGCAAACACTTGTGTTTTATTTTTTTTTCTACTGTTTTTGTCTAGCCATAATTTAATTTGTAGGACAATTTACAAAGTTTAAAGTAAAAAAAAAAACCTTTTCACATCCTAAAATCTTTGCACTTATTTTCTGCCTTTTAAAATGAATTTGAGCTCTAGCTGTAAAAAATGCTACAAGTGATAATTTCTGAAGGTTTGCGCTTTTTGATGTCTTGTATTTCAGGAGCGTCATACATTGCATTGACCTCTACAAAGGGCACCTTTTCCTGCTGTGCAGCTATGTTAACACTGGTCTCGTGGTATGACTGAAGCCCTTCCCTCATGCCCCTTCCATCTGACTGGTGCAGGAAGATGCACCTGAGATCTGGATCAAGTCTGTTACAGGGCACAGCTACTACTCTCTGAATGAGTTCACTCTCAGGTAAATGGACAGACAGAAGACAAACATGAAAGGAGAATCAGCGGAGCTTTTGCACCAACTCTATACCTTTATTCTCTGACCACGATAGACTTCAAGAACTTCAAGTTCAATAGACTTTTAATTCCTTCTGCCTTTTCTGCCCTATCTCCAACCCCCACCCACAAAAGCAAAGGAAGCAATCAGGACATGTTCTCTCTCTGAGAGAATCTGGCCATTTCTTCTAGGCCTGTCATGCTGAGCTCAGACTAGCTCTTGGATAATCTCATGAAAGATGAATAGTTCTATGCAAAATAATCAAACCACGAAAAATTCCAGCAATCTTCCTCCACAACAAACAAACAAACAAACAAACCATGCATTTGTTTCTCCTTTAGAAGTCAGCAGATTCAGAAGGTGACAAAATGGGCACAGCTTGTCTTCTAACATATTATGAATGCCATGTGTGACATTGCTTGAGAAGATGGAAAATGTTTATACAAACTGTCAGAGATAGCTAAGCTAATTTGTGGTATGTGGCATGCATGTTTTTGAACCAAAAACTTTGTCATACACCTACTGCTTGGCTGTAGAATGTATGAGAAGACAGATTTTGTTGACACATCGCAGCTGCAGCTCAACTCATTGTGAAGTGCTTTGACTTCAACAAAATTCACACCATGTGCCAAAGAAGAAGCAAAAAGAAGAGTTAACAGTTTCCACGTCTCTTTTAATGTCTTTCACTGAAGATGAACCACTCTGATTTTGCAGCTGTTACAAACGGGGTAAGTAAAGCATCTCTGATATTTTTATTTCTTTTTTTTTGAAGGCAGACTCCAAAAGAAGGTAAACGTGACCTACTGGTCACTGCTGTTTCACAGGAATGAGGGATGGAAGTCCGTCACAGATAGATGTTGCCCAGAGAGGCACTGGTAAGGGAAGTGGGAAGAACTGCCAGATAGCAGTGATGGTGATATGCACAATGGAAAGAGAAACTTTAAATCACTGCATAGCTCTGATTTTTGTCAGGTAACGGCTGAATTGTAATAAAAGTCTGGATGCTCCATCCCTGGCTGTATGCATGCCTCAGAAATCAAAATACTTGGTATAGCTTTGCATGGCTTTTAACAACATTGGAATGCAATATGCATTTATAATGCTCTTCGAAATTCTCTCTCAACCATCAGACTTCCAAACCAGTGAATATTCCTCCTCTGTTAGATAAAAAACTCTTCTGTGGATATAAGATAAGTGGTGAAGAGAAAAACTGTAAATGCATAAGTTGAAAATAGTCTTGTTCAGCTCAAATTGCGAGTGAAGTCCTGACCATATATCAGCCATAAGTGAGATGATGTTCTGCAGTATTATTGGTTTTCATTATTTCCCACTTCTCTACATCAGCATTCCCAAGAAGACAGTCCATAACTGGCACTAGATGTTATCTAGTAAATTACTTTTGTCCTGCAAACTCTTTTCATATATGATGACATTATGCTTTTCATATATGATGACATTTGGGTCAGATTTACTCCTTGTTATATGTTATTTTACTTTCTCATTTTGCTTCCATGAAACTGATAATTAAGTAAATATTCAGTAAATAGAATCAGAAGTTCAAGTATCTTTTCCATTAATTTTAAATTATATATGTATATTCTTTTGGGGAACAAGAATTTTTTTGCAATTATTTTAAAATATTGTTACCTTGTATATACATATTTTTCTTATTGCTATGTGTTAAGTGCTATTTTAATATAGGTCCATGTTTTTTGTGCTTTCCCTATAACGCTGAGTTATTTTCTTAATAAGATATAAGGAAAGCTGAACATGATAATAATTAACTTTTAATATCACCTTCTATGGTGAATCTTCCAAAGATATAAAGTAATGCTTTCACTGTGGTCAGGGATGTCTGTATTCCTAGTGTACTGGTTCCTCCTGTTTAAATTGATTCTACTAAGATTTCTGAGTCTATCCAGACTAAATATTGGGCACCATAATGTTTGCTGATATGAATTGTTAAAAAAAGTTTTTTTCTTAGGAATCATTCAGCATTAACTATTGAAATTCATGCAAAAATGGTGATAGTTGAGGATCAAATTTATTCCAGAATGAATTATCAGTCAGAACATAAAAAACATTGAGGAAAATTCTGATGAAATTTTACCAATCTTGAAGTAATTATATTCCTCTTTTATCATTGTATGTCTCTTCACCTACTATCAGTGTATTCTGGATATTCCTCCTCTGAAAATTTTCAGATTCAAGGCTGAACATCCATCTACTGGGATAGTTCTGTAATGGCCAGCAGTTCTTGATAGGACATATGCCTGGCAAATAGACCATCTCATTCCCAAATTCCCAGAAATGTGGAGAAGTCATCAGATGACCTTTCCAGAATGAACTATTAAATGAGGTGCTTCCTGCTCACCATATTTTTGAGCTTTGTATCCTTGAGTTCACTGAAGACAGATGGACCTAATATAAGCTCCAAGTGAGACATTTACCGAAGGTGGGAAGACAGTGTCATTATCCTAGAATATTTGTGATGAATGAGATAGAAAATAAATGGGCTCTGAAGTCCTGCCCTAGTAGGAACAGGGATTGAGGGGGAAGATCTAAATGCAGAAGCAAGGTTATTGTGGTTGGCTGACCCTGGCTGGATGCCAGGTGCCCACCAAAGCCACTTTATCACTCCCTACCTCAGTTGGACAGGGGAGAGAAAATACAACTACTCTTCAGGGTGTTTTAGTCTTGGTGAGTAGCCAGACCTGTTTGAAACTTCTGTGATCCTTGACTTGTTTCTGTTGGTTGCTTTCATTCGCTGACCAACCAAACTCACTTGCTCTTCATCCTTCCACCCGCACGCAGAAGACATGATGGAGGCATCTATCATAAAACAGGGTACTAGAGTGAGGTTTGTGGGATGCAGAGGAATTTTAAGCATATGTTGGTGCTCAGGATTCCCTAAAAGGTAGCCTTGGATTGGATTCAGGCATCTTGCTCTGCTTTACCTCTTTTCACTCCCTACTGAATAGCTTTATACAGCCCAGTATAGCTATGGGGAATCAAATATTTTTGTTTCCCCCTGAATAATCACACACCTTGTCTTAGGTGGTGTATAAATCCCTTATTGGTTCTAGCCCCCATTTTTTGATGGGATTCATGTTCATAAGGGATATATCAATAATTATGACTATCCTGACTGCAGTCATTTGAAATTAAAATTATGGAGTACTATTGTAAATTTTAATTCAAATATTCATAAACATTCAAAATAGAACTTATGAATGAGTATATGGCAATTTGTGTCTTTTAAAATTGCACCGGGGATGAGTCTCTGAAGCAATGAGACCACAATTTTGTATAATTTCCAAATATACCAGATATTGTACAATTTTCTCGAATTTGAAAGTTTTCAGTAATTGCTTTCTGGAGAGCTCTATATTTGCTTTCTAACTGAGATCTTCTAAATTAATTTTCGTTTAACCTTAACAAGTTCTTTTGCTAGGCTTATAATCTCAAAATATTCTAATGTATTACTTGGGGTATTTGCAAAAAAACCCACCATAAACTAGACAAAGAAATAAAGATTAAAAAGTTATAAAAAAAACATGTACAAGGAATTAGGAATGTTAATTAAGATATTAACATTTCTGAATATATAAGTTGAAGCAGTCCTTGACCTGAAACTTCATTCCGTGGAACTCATAAAGAGGTCTGCTTGAAAGATTTTCAAAATGTAAAAAGGCATTTGTCTTAAGGAAAAAAATAAGAACTTATGTCAAACAAATAAACAAAATTAGTACAGCATGGTTCAAAATTAGTAATATCTGACATAACAATAGCCATTTATTTTAACTGTGCCAAAGGAAGAGTAGGATCTGAGTTCTCACAGATTAGGATGAGACACGAGGGATTTCAGAAGGGGATCAGAATGTAAATTCTGTACTTTATAAAATGAAAACAAACTGGGAGTTACCAGGCTGCAATATTTACCAACATTTTTTCTCTATTGCTCCTATTGCAGTACTGCAAATGCATCTAAAAAGAAATTTAATGTCCAAACTTTACATTTACTGGAAAGAAAGAGGCATTGAAACCTGAACTGCTGTTGTTCTCAGTGTGTAGGGAGAAGTTGCTGGGATCATCAGGTTGTTTGATACCCTTGGTGTCATATATATCTGCATACATTGAGGTGTGGAAAAATTAGGATTCGAAACATAGACCTAGAAAGTGAGAAAAGGAGATCTTGTACAGTTGGTGCAATACTGAAGGGACAGTTTGTGGCGAACAGACCAAAAGGATAAGAATTTTGATGGTCTGCCCTATTCTGGGTGTTTCCTTAAGAGCAAGGGAGGAAAGTGCACAGATTTATCTCTTGCTGGTCTGGTTGTCCTTTGGGGCAGGAACAATATAAGTCACTGTTTCAAATACAGGCTCTCATACTTTAGATGCTAGAACAAAGGGAAGTGACTGAAAGTAAATAAAACTTGAATTCACACAGGTATAAAAAGCCTTTTTTCTATAAGCAGGCAGTTCTAAACATCACTCTGAATGGTTTGTGAGGCAAAAATTGAGAAGAAATTGAGGTACTTTCTGACAAAAGTAGTATATTAGGAGATTAGTCTCCGAGGGGTGGATAACCTTTTCGGATTCTAAGTATTTCTTCTGTTCTCATGTGTGAGCTTACAATCTGTTAGTCTCAAAATATATCTACAAACCCACAGGCCCACCTTCCTGACAGCTGCTCAAACAACAGAGCGGGGGAGCAGAGAAAAAAACTCTGCCCCATCATCCACCCAGCAATTCTGAAAAGCTTGGTAAGTTACTCACACAATCCAGAAATGCCAGTCAGAGTGGAGAGAGAACAGAGTCAGGGGGGAGAGAAGACTCTTAAAGCAACATTTGCAGCACACAGGCTAAAACTAAAGGGACTAATTAGTATAATAGGTTTGAAATCATTTCAGCACACTACTAAAGACAAAAGAAAAATTGTCCTTCAGAAATGGGGCTTTATTGTTCAGATGAGTATAGAGACGAACAATGAATTCTATCAGTTTA